TCAAAAAATATCTAGCTCCAGAGAATGAGGGGACTCGATAAGGACCCCATAAATCGCAATGAATTAAAGCAAAAGGTTCCAAACTATTACTTGAACTTAAAGGAAATGAGTCTCTAGTATGCTTCGCACGATAACAGACATCGCAAGCTTTATTCGTAATACTACTACCAGGACTAGAAGATAAGTCACAAATCTTTCCAATAACCTGCGGAGGTGGGTGACCCAATCGTTGATGCCACAAGTCCACGGATCCACCAACAGATACCCTAGCCGCCACCGTCTTCATAGGATCACTAAAGAAATATAACCCCCCTTTTGTTCACCCAGACCAATCACCGTCCTCGTAGTACGGTTCTGTATTAGACAATCAACATTAGTGAATTGGGCTATACACCCATGATCGTCTAATAAATGGTATAACGAGATAAGACTACATTTAAGACTAGGAACAAACAGAACATTAATCAAGACCAAATTTTGACTAAGGCGAACTCTGCCGGCTTTAGTCGCAACAGTCAACTGGCCATCAGGAAGTTGCACTGGTCGAGGTGAAATATTACAAATATCAACAAGATACTAAAAAAATCCAGTCATGTGATGTGTAGCACCACAATCATACATCCAACTACGAGAATAATCCTTACCGGACAAATGATTAGAAATGGTAGTATCAGAATTATTAGGGCGCACGAGATTGACTAGCGCCTGCCATTGATCCGGGCTCAAACCTGTAGATGCCGGGACAGAATTTCCACCATAAGAGCCAAATTGTATTTTAGAATCAGTAAGTCCTGGCCCAATATGACCAGGCCCAATATTTGTCCCATTAATAGTAGCAGCGTGGGCTTTGGCAGAAGTGAAAGAAAGAGGCGCCGATCGATTGAGTGAAACTCGTCGGTCATGTCCAGCGGAAGAGGCGTCGATCGATTGACCTTGGCCCGCCGGAGACGCGCTGGTAGAAGGAGCTGCCGGAGTCTTGTCGGACCATCCCGCAGGATACCCAACTATTTCGAAGCAGCGGCGAGGATCGTGACCCGTGCGGTTGCAATGGGGGCAGGTCTTCACGCGAAAACAGACGGCGGCGTCGTGTCCAGATCGGCCGCAAACAGTGCACTGGCGAGAAGACCGAGAGGTGCGGGAAGACGATTGGCGTGGTACAGTGGTGGCAAAACTCATTACATCGGTCGTCGGAGCAGATGGAGAGGTGAGGCGTTCCTCTTGGGAGATGACAGAGTAGACCCGTTCGAAAGAAGGTAACAGGTCTTGGGCCAAAAGACCGGAGCGGGCCGACCCGTACACATCTTTGTCCAGGCCTAAGAGAAATTGGTGGGTTTCTTCTGCGTCTCGACGAGCCTCAAATTCACGGGCATGTCCACAGGTACACGCGATCGGCGGTTGATATGAATTTAATTCATCAAATAGCATGCGCAGTTTACCATAGTATGCGCTGATAGTCATTCCTTTTTGTACTGTAGAAGCCAATTCGCCTTTCAATTGCTGAATTCGAGTCCCGTTAATAACAGAGAAACAGCGTCGGAGATGGTCCCACAAGTCTTTGGCGAGTTCAATTTGCGGGATGGAGGGTCGAAGTGCCGGATCGATCGTATTCTTTATCCACGAGACCAGCATCGAGTTATTCACGAACCAATCTTCGAGGATCGGAGAGTTGTCGGCCGGTGTGGAGATAGAACCATCGAGAAAACCAAACTTTTTGCGTGCCCGAAGTGTTAGAGGTATGTTGTAAAAGCTGTGTTTTGCAGTTTCTATCAATTCCATTTTGATCTGGCAATCATGTTTCGGTCAAAGTACATATGTTTGC